TCATTTTTCTTTCAGAGGAGAAGTAATACATTGAACAGTTTTAAAAGGTAGAACGGATGGACAACTACGAGTGTCATACTTCCCTCCTAAGCCAAAAAAACAAAAACAACAATGTAATCGTTTTGACAACTATTGTTTTTTCTGAACTATCTTTTTGTTCTAAAATAAATTTTCCTGTCTATAAACTCTATTATACCTTTTAAAATCATAAATTTCATTTATATTTAGTTTAGTAGTGAAATACATCCATATTGTTTTTTTTACCGAGCGAATATGCAATTTGAGTAATATGTATGCCATGTGCATTGTCTGATCATTAAACATATTAAATGATAATGACTCACTGATAATGAAAGTAATTTTCGTTTCAAATAACGAATTTTTTGATAAAATAAATTCATTTTTATATTTTTCGCTTTTCACAGGTGCGTGGTATCAAGGTTTAAAATTAAAATTAAATTAATTATGATAACTAATGATGATATAAAAATTTCAATTTATATGATTGAGTAGAATACACAAAATATACAAAATATGATGAGAACAAAAACAGAAATTAGTTCTATATTATTGCTTATAGATATTTTCTAAGACATAGTTAATTGTCTTTTAATGTTTTTTCATAATACTTGATAGTTAGGTAGTTTTATTAGGTATATAAAAACGTTTTTACTTTAACTCATTAATGGCATTAAAACTATGACTTTTGAATTCGGCTTCATAGTTGGGTTGTTTAATTTAAAATGGTTGAAAAAGTAATTATTGGGATATTTGCCATCTATATTATTTTTTTTTATATTCTTCTATAGTATATAGTCTATAATTTTCAAAAATTAAAAGTCAATATTTTTGTACATTCGATTGCCATGGGTATGTACAACATACTCATGAAAGTTAATACTGGTCAGGTCAAAATTCATAAGAATGAAATATACTTGAACTACCCTTTAATAAATTATTCATGATGCTGTTCTAGAAATTTTTGGGCGTCTCTGATTTCAACAGTGTAAATCCCTAGGATATTTCTTGATGAATATAAGGTCAAATGTCTGGTGTATTTCAGTATTTCAAACAAAATACTTTTACTCTCATCATCAATAGTTAACACCTTCAATACTTAAGACTTGGTACACAAACGTGATAGGTACTTGGTTGTAGTATAAATAGCCTACAATTAGTCTAAATATTTTTATCAAATGTTATTGTGTACCTTAGGAATAACTATATACATAATGGCAAAATGTTTCAAATTCCTACGAATTATAGATTTTTAATAAAAAAATAATATGTCATGACTTAAAATATGGATTTATTAAATACTATAATTGTATTTTATTAGTTTCTGTATAGAAAAATTAAGTTTTAGAATTGTTATTTGTTATATGTTTACTGAAATTACATAATATTACGAACTAACTTGTGTATATTTTTCATATCACTTTTATTGCATTCAAGTTAAACTAGTAGAAATGCAATGAAATAAAATTAATACTTTTTTTATAAAATATTATTTCATGAAGTGGTGTTAAAAGTTAATAATATCATATATAATATGTATGATAATAATATCATGTCAACAAGTTATTCAAATTCTCTGTACTAAAATAAATCGTTTGTTTTCATCCATTTTTCAAATAATTCACATTTATCAAAATCTTTATAATAACGAATTTGAAACCACCTTGTAGATGTTCTAGGGAGTTATAATGAAGATTAAGTATTGTCTAACAAGAATGAAGAAAATTTGAGTGATGTTGATTATTAAAGTCTCAGGTATGATATAAATTATATTTTGAAACATATATAATTTTTCATTTTCATATTGTTATTATAATGAACACTATAAATATTAAATCAAATAACAGTTATTAATATTGCAAATTAAACACAAATTATGTGCTTGGTACCATAAAGTTTTTATTTTTTACATTAAACTGTAGTATGACATGTAATCCAGTAATTACGAAGCTTTACTTTTACTAACCGGTTGCAAGTATTTTTAAATACACAAAAGCCTAAAAGGCGAATGGTTGAAGTATTAAAAATTCAAAGTGACTTTGTCAACATTGAAAATTACACAAGGCAATGTATTAACGCCTTGCTTTGTAATAGTAATATTTTAGTTATATTAATATTTTTCTCGTACATTTTATGCATATTTTAAAAACGCTAGTTTTCATCACATTTATAACAAAAGCTCTTTACATTTTTAACATTTTCCTATTATATTCTACTTGATTGAACTCTATTGAAAGATCTACAAAATACAAATAAGTCGTTGCCTAAACACTCTAAGCGATGATCACGTCATTATACTCAAACAGAAAATAAGAATCAAATTTCTAAGATAGATAAAATGTGTGTTCTGTTCTTAATACATACAATTAAATACGTTTACTTTAAAACATACTGATATAAATTATTGTAAAATATATGAATAAATAGATATAAATAAATACAAAATAATTTGTTTTCTATTGGTTAACACATTCGTTGTACAAATGCTATAATGTTTAGGTTGTACTGAATATACATTTTTATAATTTATTTAAATATATTATGAAGTAGTTTCGTAAATAAATAAACATACATCCGACAAAAATTATTTGTTCTTATAATTAAATTTCAAAAACGACTTAACTAAAATATCGCTGCATATACATTACTAAAATAATAAATAAGAAAAAATAGGAACAAATAATATAAACTTAAGTTAACAATATAATGAATACCCTCTAAATGTCTAGAATAAAAGGATACATTCTTCAGGTTAGATTTAACTTATTACATTCGGGAAAAATTCTCGGATAACAATATATATTCTAAGAAGGTTGACAAAGCTAATATATCTAGCTTTTTAATGAAATATTATGAACAGATGAGCCTCTAAACATTTGAATACCTTGAGAAATAAATAATAATTAATGCTTATTAAAAATAAAATAAAACCGTTTTATCGAGATCGATTTAATAATCGGTCTTTGAAAAAAAAAATAACACCTAAGTACTATTATATTGTATTATAATTAAATAAAAATCATCTATTAAACAATTGTATGTGTTATTTGATAGGGTGAATATTGCATGAGTATATCCATACCGTAAACTCAACTATATTCGACGTCCCTATCCAACATTAAATGCAGCATATTGTATTGAAAATAATATTCAATATATTATTTTGTTCGAGCTTGTAAACGTCTTACTCTTGTCACATATTGTAATAACATTTAGAAACATTTGATCAAACTAAAGGCATTAACGAAAATGGAATTCCTCCAAACAAAATGTCATACATTATGATAAACATCTATGCCATTAAATGCAATACCACGTATAAACTGATAATACAAACACATCCGACAGGTTAACTGACTTGTGTATGATAAGTCACATATGGAAAAGTGGAATATTCCACTACCCTACACAAGTTGTGAAGTGATCAAGACAGATGATTATTTTGGAAATGATGATATTTCCTAGTATTTTGAATGATAATATGACTGATGTCTGTAGACATTATAATTTATCTGCAACATTGAGAGTAGGTATATATAGTTAACCATAATAGACCATAATTTATTGTTTTTAATTTATAGCTTCGTGTAGCCGAGTGGGTACGTAAATAAATAGAAGCAAACACTAATCGGCGGTATATCGTCTGTATCATAAAAACATAACTCGCAGTGCAAACTAAATTATTATATTTACAGATATCTATGTTATCACAGTTTAAATATTGACCAGGCATTAAGACATTAAGTACACAATACACAAACCGACGGTCCCACGTGGCATTATCAGTTCAAAAAAATCGAGTAAAATCTTCAACAATTATTAATAAAAACCACGATCCATATTGCTGTATAATCTCTATAACTAAGTGTTATAAAACGAGTAGGTATATGTTGCTTTCATAAAATCAATACACATTTCAGATCACCGGTCTCGTATCACTGTTCACTCAGATGGTGTCAGAGAATTGCGATTATAATGTCTGTGGCTGTCGGCTGTCAGTAATGCACAGGTACATAATGTAGTGATGTATCATTCACTCAAAGATTGTTTGTTTCAGTTGTGTAAACGTTATTAGATCATTAATATTAAAATCTTAAAGTGGTTTCAATGAAATTACTTTATTCAACCGAATCAATTGTGAATCAAATAGTTAATTATATAGAAACATCGATGATATAATATAATCGATGCACATAATAAAATAAAATCTGACATAATATATCTGTGCCGTGAAAACATTCAAGCGCCCAATAAAAGTGAAAGAAATAAAGCGAGAGTATTAAAACACTTTTCAATTAAACACCTAACATTAAAAATTCATTAAAAACTACTCGCTGCGTTCATCTTTGTATGCGTGTCATAATAATATGTTCCATGCGAAAAACGTATTATATACACAAACAATAATGGTGAACGAAATACATAATTCAGTGGAGTCTGCTAACAAGACTCAACGCATATCCACTTTCTATTCATTTTCTTGGTTAATCAATAAGCTTAATTTATTGTTAAACATATTTCTGCACCTACTAAATATTATTTTGAGCAACATTCTTGTACGCATATATATTATAATACATTGCATTCTATCTTTAAAATATTGCAGTAATACAAACATTTAATTTTAGAATAGAATAAATGAAAAATTAGGTAGGCAGTAATATTCTCGTATTCTCGACTCGTGTTGTAAAAATAAATACAAATATTCTAATGAATTTAGAGATTATAAGATGAACATCATATACGCGTAAATTAATACTATAAATTATTTAAATGTTGATATTAAACTTCAACAACAGCCCAAGGTAGTATATTATAATATGTACCCTACAGTTTTTTTTAATTCATTTTTAATGTTAATATTTTTGAAGTGACATTATAACATCAAATCGTTTGTTTGAAATGTATACATTATAATATTATACTTTCATTTGTTGTTGGTATTATGAAGTGCTTTGTAGTTGATATTTTTGACCACTTACCCCGATGATGCGGTTTGGTCGATTTCTGGCCACGAGTTTCTGCGCCTGCAGAAAGCCATCGGATTCCTGGGCTGAGATATTTGTCTGAACGACCCGGTCCGCCTGGGTCCCGATGACCTGACACAACTGCCACCATTGCCTTGAGGTGTCACGATTCGAGGTATACCACTAACGCTGCCCGTACTTGCTGAACGACTGGACGTGGCTGTAGATGCAGCCACCACAGCTGCAGGCGCATCGTCTCCATCTGGTCCCGATTCCTTGGATAGCGAAAATCGCTTTGGACTCAAGTTCAAGTTTGCCACACTACTGGTGACTATTTGATGAAGCGACGAAAAGAAGCTCATTTTGTTCGATTTTGTATGTATCACTTCATTCTAAAAAAAAAAGAAATGCATTGTTGATACTTATTCATTATTTTTATTTATATATTGTGTACTCAAAACTTCATGTACAACTATTATAGATAATAGCAAATCTAGTTTCATATATTTACAATAATAACTGTTGCAAGTTAAATAATATCGCACATACATTTGTATGGTATACCGGAAATACAGGAAATCATAATAATGGGAAATTTCATTAAGCGATTAGAACACCGAATCAAATTAATAATTGAGATATTAATTTATATTTTTAATTAAATTGTGCCTTGAGCATAAAGTTTTATATGAATATTTAATTGGAAAGCACTAATATTGTAAATCAATATTTTTTGGAACTATATGTTCACTTTACTTTAAAGTTAAGTGAAAATTAATTTCAAATACGAATTCTATTAGATTTCAAACATTTGTGTTGAATTTTCATACAGTTTAAAAGTTTTTTGAGCAATTCTAAAACACATTTTTTATCTGTGATTTACTATTAAATTAATAGGGCAAATTAAAGTCAAAATTAATTTTAATTGGGAGAATATTTTTTTTTCACGCAAATAAAATATCTCTTATCCCTGGCTTTTCTTCATTTTAGGTAAGATTAAATATTGTATCTCATTTTTGAATAACTGTATAATTATATTGATCATTTGTCCTCCATAATAGAAAAAATAATAAAACTTGAATCACAATTTGTGATTGTCAAGATGTATGTTTTTCATTACCAATTTTATATCTTAAAAGAAGACAACATCCTTTTCTAGTTCCCGATATTTTATATGGTACACATTCGAATCGATTCCAGATATTCTTATAGCTCATATAAAAATTGGTTTGTAGGGTTTTTGGAATACATCTCAAATTTCAATGAGTTGTTAATTTGATTTTTGTAAAACAAAAAGAGTAAATGCAACTTTATAATTCCGTTTTGTTTCAGCTGGCTATCTAATAATATCCATGCTAATAAATCGTAAAAATGACAACGTTCAAGTGTTAAACCATATACTGACAAAATTTAAAAAATATCATAGTCTGTATACAATTGGATGAAATATTGAAATAGCTCCTTAAATCTAGGAACCATTGAGGATGTAATTTTTGTACTAATCCAAAAATCAATTTGGATATATACCCTTCGTAACAACCTGAGAACCAATTTGAATATTTTCCCATAAAAAAATCTGAATACTTTAATTGTTTAATATTAAGTATAATATATAAACTAATACAATTAAAGTTATATATTATAAATACTCCTAAAATATAAAGAACACTCAAAGATAAAATATTTAACTATATGTTTAGAAACACATAAATTGTAAAGTACAATTAATATTTAATGATAATGCATTTGGTAATAAACGTAGTACACAAAAAAATTACATTCTTATATTATAATATTTTATAATTATAAAATTTCTTTTCAATTGTCCAAAAACAAAATTTATTACCACACAAAATAATGAAAACTGAACAATTCTGTTTTTAAATCGAGTTTTTTTGGTACATTAATTAATAGAACATAATATTTTAAATCTCCAGTAGTTTTTTATAAGTGTAAAAAACTACAAAATCTGTTTAAAAAGACAAATTAGTTAAATAAAAACCATTTTTTGAATGTCATGATTTATTATTAGAATACAATTCAATATCAGAATATATTCAAATACAACATATTCGCAATAATCATCTTACATCAGCATTTTAAAAAATATAAATAAATAATGTCAAAGTAAAACATATTTATTTTTAAAAACCTTAGTATCTCTTTTATTTTTATTTTTTGCTTAACAGACAATGCCGTGATGGAGCTAATAAAAAAAAATTGCAAACTAAAATGTTATTCAAATACATTTAGAACTTGGTAGAAATGATAGTGTACTTACATATATATCTAAATATGTATAAGCTCCCATCAATAATTCAAAATATAATATAATATTGAGTACAATACTACAATATATGTTTATATATTATATTATATCTAACAGCAATATTAGGTACTTAATATTTCTAATATCTAGTCATTTTTATAAATGAAATATCAACATGTATTCCTTGGTGGCTTGGTATAAATATTATATATTATCTAAATAATAGTTATGGGTTTTTATTTTTTATTGGTACTGTTATATAAACAATATATTTATTCGAATTAATATGTATATATTATATAAATTGTTATTCTTTATTAGCAACTAATAATCTATAACAATTTATTAATATCATAATACAAACAATTTACGTTTTTACCAGTTGAATGTGAACTTATATTTTAACCATTTATCTAGAGTACCATACTAATGTAACTTTTCTGTTCAAAAATATTTTATTGATCTATACCTACACTTTATTTTATTTTTTCATTGATATTATATATATTGTACTATGTATAAAATATTTATAAATTTTTTTCTCCATCGATTCAAATACAGAATAAATATGGCAGAACAAATTACTATTGAAATCAATAAAAATGCATAAAACATATTTACCAAGTTTTAAAACTTGTACCGCAACCTGGTTGTTTCGCTTGATTAATTTTAGTCAAATTATGGTCGGGATGAATCACCCATATACAATTATAACAGTGTTTACAAAATTAAATCTTGTCGGTCGTAATTTTAAAACAATTTATGTCGTGCAAAGTGTACGCCTAACCTCTATAACTAATTAAATATATAAACAATAAAAAAAGTTTATACCGAAGACCGAAAATGGAACTTTACATTTACAATTATGAGTTTCATTGATGTTTTAAATGAATATTTTATTATAAAAAAAAAGGTAAAATAATTCTATTCGACTAGGTATATAGTATATTATACCTACATAACGTATAATGTTAGTACATATTTAAAATTATGTCCATTAAGACCATTTCCATCCCAGAATTGTTATGTTTTGGGATGTTTTAGTATAATAAATACAAAGTGCATATTATAGAAGAGATAATAAGAAAAAATACCCAACTCATCGTACATAAATAATAATATTATGTAGAGTATTCACTATTCACAGATGTGCTCTCACATATTATACTAAGATAGGTAAAGAAATACCTGACCAGATTTTATTATAAAGACCAGGTGTGAGGTAACCATCCTGTTTTGCTCGCTTAGGCGCAGGATAGTGATGTATTGTTTTTTTTTTTTTTTTTTAAATATATGTGTATTTGAATTTGATGGTACATGTTCTTATCCTAAAAGCCTAAAAGTTACGATTCTAAGCGAAGATTTATTATGTAACTATTTAAACATTTTAAAATATTTTTACTGATAGAAATAAATAATGATTAATGAGTTTGAATATTTATAAAATACAGTTGTGACTATGCTATGAGTAACCTTGTATTAAAGTGTCAAGTGTCAAACTTAATATTACGAATTATATTTTGTGATATTTATGGTAGGTACTTATTTGTATTTACACTAGCATGTTATGTAGGTATAGTATAACACCGAATATAAACTAATAGTGTTATAACTTATAAATGTGTACCTAATTAATTTTTAGTCTGTTCAACCAAGTTGTTTGATGTACGAATAATTATAAAAACCACATAATCAAACATCTTCTTTCGCATTATCCGATGAAGGTTAATATATTATTACATGGAATAAAGAAAACGAAAAATATTAAATTACATTACTAGGCATCTAATTAAAAACTCTCGTACTGTTTAAGATGTTTCGTTTAAGAATGTTGGATTAAGTCTCGATAAAAATTATTATAAATTAGTGAGTAGGTATTCTAGTTAAGCAGTTTTTTCTTTATATTAAAACATAAATGTCCGTATGCATAGTCAGTTTAAAATATTAAGGTTTTTCCCATTTTGATGATAAATAGAATAAATGATTAATAATATATAACATACAATCATAATATTATATACTTAATTTATAAAAAGAAAATGTGTTTGTTTAATTTTTAATTTGGTCGGTATAATATTATTTTGCATTAATTGAAATCCGGTGAATTGGTCATGGTACAATTTCTTATTGGTTTCCCAAATAATCGATCACCAAACAAAATTTTTATGGTTTCTTACTGCTTATAGTTGTTTTATTGTTCTATATTTCATAAAGAATAATATGAAAATATAAAATTGTAAAACTTATAAGTTATAACCAATTATTTGTTTTAAGCAATTTTCCTTGAATAAAATTATGTAATAATAATTAAAAATGTTTGATTGATCTTCTCCGTAGGTCAACAACGACGTTTTTGAAAAATTATACTCCCTATATCTACCTATGAAATATCTTAGTTAATAAAGTGAATTGATCAAGCGTTTTGATCGAAAAAATTGAAGGAGACCATTAATATTGACTATTGTCTGTATCGCATACGCCAAACGAATTATTCAATTATTAGATTATTATTAAAATTTGTTCCTATCCAAGACATGTATAAGTATAATACAACAATTTAGTGGAAAGTTTGTTTTTTTCTGATGTTAAATTTAATACATATTATAATATAGAACACAAAGTCTCTTAATACTCAAAAATAATTTCCATGCTTTGTTCATAGGAGGAGTAGCTTACCATGCACATGAAAAAGTTACAGAAAGGTACAATGTAACACAAGATAATTCACATGATACAAAAACTTTTATACAACAATTGGCAACGTTTGGATGTAATTCTAGAGTACTGTGAGAAAGAATTCGTAGCATGTATTATTACTTTGAACAAGAATATCAAACCAATCAGTTAAACAAAGAATAAAGGACCAAGTTTAGAAAAATTATGCTAACCATTATTTAAAGTCATCAAAATGTGATGAAGTTTACAACTCGTAATTTTTGTCATTATATCGTAATGTTTCAAATACGCAATTATTTATAGATTTGAGGTTTCGAATGATAGCCTGTTAAGTTATTTGTTTTTTTTTCATACACAAACAGCAATAATACCGACAGATCAGTGCATACTTATATAATAATATTTCACGTTTTTCAG